TTACCAGATAAAGTCGACTGGTTTCTCAATATTAGGCTCGGCTCCCCCTACGTGTTCACGGATAACAAAGACAACCACCTAAATAAAGTCGTGAACAATGGAACCCTGCTCGTGGCTTACATCCCGACTCATAGACGTAGCGTAGTCATCAGCCCACTCGCCAGTATGGCAGCCCACATGCTATCGAGTAAAGCGGGCATGCAAAACGTGGTATTGCAGTTGGTGTCTGAATTCGAAGGCGTGGTCAGGATCCTGGAGAGTCTACCGGCGAACTCAACACTGATCATCCAAGTCTACCTAGGGGAACCATCGTGGGATGATGTAGAGATCGTGAAGGGGGTCAAACTCCGGTGGGGGAAACAACAACAGTATCACGTTTGCAACGTTTACGTGCGGGTGGGTGTCGACTCCAAAACCAGTCTGCAGGGAGTCAACGTGATCGTGGAAGACACTATATCACTAACCAAGATCTTCCTACCCGACAACATACACTTCATGGGGGTGAAGTGCACCCCTGAACTATTATCAGAAAACCAGTTGGAAATTATATCGTAATAGTATTATAGCAATGTCTTGGCTTCACCCCAACACTACGTTTAACGATTTAGGGGACACGGAGGGATTCGACCAGCCTGGTGAGGAAGACACCTTATACATCCTGCACTTGAAAGACAACGTGTATAGGCGGGTGTCGTTATCAGATTTTAAAGAGCCTGAATGGTTAGTCAACTTAACCCTCACCTCACCTTATATCTCCTTGAAACAAAATAATACTATCTCCGAGATTAGGAACAACGGCATGATTATAGGATCATTCATTCCGGAATCTAGTGTACAAGTCATACCAATACCAGGCCACTCGGGCAACATGCTAGCTTCAGACAGTGGGAGGGTAAAGATAGAGATCAAATTACTTGATTACCAAGAGGTTTTTAGAAATGTCGCGGAAAACTTCACATTCATCATAGACGTCTATCTCGGAGATATAAGTTTGACTAGTAGTTATATTCGCATTATAGATGATATGGTGATAGGTTGGGAAGCCAGGTGTAATAACCAACGTTGTTGTATTATTAAGGTATCAGGAAACGACCCTGTACCAACCCTTGATGGGGTTCGTCTCTTTAATGGACGTAGAGCTAAGACCCCGCTTTTTTACACGCACGTTAATCTAAGTATTATCGGCTTTAAGTACATTAATCGAAGGTTAAATGAAACCCAATTAAAATATATTATGGGATTGAGCTATATCCCTGAACTAGTACCAGAACACTAGTTGGAAATTATATCGTAATAGTATTATAGCAATGACCAGTCATAGACCCAACACTACACTTAACGACCTTGGGGACACGGAGGGATTCGACCAGCCTGGTGAGGAAGGTGGCTCATACGTCCTACACTTGAAAGACAACGTGTATAGGCGGGCAGCAATGGTTGATCATCTGCCCAAAATCACTCTCGGGGATCTAGGGGGCGTAGAGGGATTCGATCAACCTGGCGAGAATGACACCTCGTACGTCCTACGCTTGATAGACAACGTGTATACGCGGATGAAAATAGACCATTGGCTCCTGCACAAACACTTTAGAGGACCCAAATGGTTGCTCGATATAACCCTCACCACACCTTACGTTTCTTTTCGTAATCATGGATCTAGGGAGATCGATGAAATTAAGAACAGCGGTATCTTGCTTGGGGGGTTTAGATCCAGCGGCCCTGAAAAAATTAGAATTTCCCAAATCCCAGATCACCTGGTTTACATGTTAGATGCAACCGGGGGGAATGCACGGTTATCATTTAATATATACTCTAACCTACCACCATTGCCTAGGCTTATGCCTCCAGACTCCACATTAATCGTAACACTCTTTTTAAAAAATACCCGTGGGTCCTCATGGTACCTTTTATCTGGGGTGCTAATAAGACCATCTATTCAGGCCACTAAAGGCAGCTATTGTAGTCTCGTTATACGACAGGATGGTGAGGGGTTGCTGCCCCCCTTTTTCAGCTCCTGTATATTTAGAAGTTCCCCAATTTTACCTATTGACCTTTCCTCTATTGAGATACCCGAGAACGTAGGCCTTATAAACTTCAAGTACGTTGATCGGGTATTAACTGATCCCAAATTAAAAAATATTTTATCAGATATATTATAGACACACAGAATGGGGCTATACCCAGGCATAGATGAAGTAGCGAAGACCCTGGAAACTGTAGACGGATTCCGCTTGAGACAATTATGTGATGTGAGACGCCAACTAGAACAAGACCGCGACAAGCGTAAAGCATTATATAAGAAATACCTTAGAGTTTTCAATGTCGTGGACGGGACTGATACTACCCTTATGGCAGCCAGCATTGGCCTAGGGGTGGCAGGTGTTGGGTTGTTAGCTACCATCGTGGCCGCACCTATAGTGATGGGGCTCGAAATAACAGCTGGGGTGACAGGGGTGTTGGGGTTGGGGCTTAAGCTTGTATCCCGCAGACTGCATCATAAAGCATTGAAGCATAATGAGATCGGGGTTCTAGCTGAAGCAAAGCTTAACGCCATAAGCGATCTTATTTCCACGGCACTCACTGACAGTAAGATCTCAGAGGAGGAGTTTCGTTTAGTCCTCTCTGAACTCGACAAGTACCGTAAGATGAAACAAGAAATCCGGTCCAAGTCTCGTAAGTCTGCTATCAGCGAAGACGAGAAAAAAAAGTACATAGAACAGGGGGTACGAAAAGCCCAGCAAGCTTTCATTACGAACACCAAATTCATAGGCGATTCACATTAAACTGTTTCATTGAGGTCAACGTGACATAGCGGCACGTGGACATAGATAAAACGAACCTACCTTGTACTACTTGAGGATGGGCCAGGCAGACAGGAATTATTGATTCCAGACAACGTGTCACGTGATGTGTGGGTGCGCATGATCTACCCGTTAAACTGACCTACTTCAGCTAAGTCCGCGGTAGCTCAGTCGGTTGAGTGGTGCGGCCCATTATGTATAGTCTGCGCAAGCTGTGCATGTGGTTCGTATCCCGCCGTTGTCTCTGCAACTTTGTGTGATGTGAGATAAAGAGGCAGCCGACACAATTCCCAAGGGAGGAAGCGCAATACATTTCTATTTCTCCCTTTGGGAATTGTGGCTGCCGGGGACATTTTGCTTGAAATTTTTATCGGTTGGGAAAGCAGTAGGGGTAAAGGTAGCAAGAGCTAAGGGTCTGACCAAAGCCTTATTTGGGGAATAAGGCTTTGTAGAGGCTTTTGTTGGAACTGATCCAAAACCCCCATTACCTATACTACTTAGCATGTAGCTTTAAAATTATGCCACAGTGCAAGACAATACAATATAAAAAAATGGGTTCCAGATTACCAGCAACTGAAGGTAGATCACCGTACAGTACTTTTTGTACCTGCATAGGTCCTTTAGTACTGTCTGAAGTAGAAAAAACCCTGTTTTTTTCACATTTATATCTACAATGTATGTAGATAAAATGTGAAAGTGTGAGTACTGTAGGTCGCCATGGTCTCTAGCATGGTGATCTACCTTCAGTTGCTGGTGATCTCTAGCCAGTTTTTATATTGTATTGTCTGTACTATTTGTCTAATTTGCTAGTTTTAATTCTCTAACTGTGATAATCTAGTTATGGTACTGTCCATCGTCGACGGGTTTTTGTAATTCAATTGCGTTTTATTGTTAATTTATAACTTTTAAAGTCACAATATGGCTGAAATACAGCCGCTGTGACTATAAATTTTAACTCATTCACTCACTCACTGTGAAAGTGTGAAATGTCTAAGTTCGGCCTTATTACAGTCTCAGAGGTAGGGAGATAGGGAACGTGAAAAATGGACTTTACTGATGCGAGATTTGTGCAGAAATGTGCAAGGCGCTATTTTCCTAAGTCCAAAGTGACTCTTTTAGGACAGACCATGGTTTTGTGTAAATTAGTGTGCGATGACATTGCATTTCAAAGGACACTTTTTAATTAGGACCATTTTAAAATTAGACTTAGCTTCATTATAAACGATAGCTGACGTAAAGAAAAATAAATTTAATATTGAAACTATTAAGGATGCAGTTACCGTGGAGCCTCATTATCACTGTAAAAAGAAACAGGTAGGAAGGATCGTCTCAAAAGCAAAACTAGGACGGGTGTCGCAGACGGTGGTTGAGGTCGGGGTGGGGGATAGAGATATCAGCTGAGACAAGATAATCCTTAAACGGCATGTCTTAACAATTTACAAATAATATCCAGCCCTGTCGATATTAGGGTGGTCATGGCACCTATATATTTTGAGACATGTGATAAGATGGTTGATTTAAGATTTTCTATGGATATCATAGTCTTTTACATATCTCAACATAAACCTTATGAAAGAAAGACCCGTACGGTGTTAATCAATTCATGAAACATATCCAACACACATGAAAAAGCGTAAAATATATTTGAGAGGACCCCTTGTGCGTGCAGGCAGCACATGCATTTCATGCCAGGTGAGTCAATGGTCTGTCGACATACATGGATGAACAACCTAATTGACATCTATAGTCGGATCTATTGTTTTTAGCAGCCATTCGTATTATTTCTAACTCTTTTTTTCTGGATATCCTATTACGCATCCCACTGATGTCGGTTATTCGACATATGCTATTTGCAGATGTGTAAATTTTAGGGATACAGAGTAACAGCCTAATTGTTTTTCTTCTGTTTCCGACAGTACTTTGCTGGATTTATAACGTCCCTGCAGCCGCTTAAAGATTAAACCATCACTTAAAATGAGAAATATTGGTAGTTCAATATTCCTCCAGTACTTTCAACAAGAAAGCATGCCATTTACATAATGTCGAGGTGATAATTATCATACTATTTGATATTCCTAATACCTGTGTATTCTCCAGTATTTGTAACAAAACTGATGTCATTCTGATGCTGCAGAGCGTATACTACAGACTCTTGGTTTCCAGGCAAAGTTTACCTCTTACAAGAAGTGTCGTCCTGTCCATCAGGAGATCCTTATCCTCAAAAGATGACGCCCACATGTCGTCGGGCATGGTGACGCCAAGCACTTTGGCGAAGTCACCGCATGGATAGAGGGACACGGCGCTGAACTCGTATCCCTTCCTTGACAGAAAACCCGTCAACTGGGACCAGCTTCCTGGCTCCTCAACGTCAAGAACTGAAATGTGTGAATTTGGAATACTTCAACAACTTCTGGATCTTTTACAGAGGATCACTTGTCCTACTAATATGTGAAAATATATACTTGTTACACTACCGTATTGATAGATTATATCAACCTGTTATATTCCCCTAAAATATACAGAAACTGAAAACGGCTGTCCAGTCATGCTGTTCTTTGCACTTTCAGCATCTCCAAGATGTCTTAAGTAGCTCTGTGTCCCTGCCTCCCAAAGTAATTATCACAAACAAGGTGCAGGCAAGTACCTTGATATGAGAGAATAACAAGTGTCATCACTTACATATAAAATGTACTTCAAAGAAACGAATTCATGAGAAAATGAAGAAATTAATTATTCAGTGTATGAGCTGACGCGAAAAAGTAACTGTGCTTCATATCTACTTAAAATAATATGGATTTATTATGCTATTACATATTATGCTTTAATACATACCCCTGAACACAGAGCCTCGACATTAATACGTCATTCCCAGATAGCAGATGTCTGTTAGTACATGGTGCAATATCGGGATGTTAGGAGCTCGCATACTCATAGCTGCCTGTATTTGTAACGTGAACAGCGTACATTGATTGCTAACCAGCCAGGTGTTCAAACACGCACTTACATTTACTGTAAATGCCACAATTTAAAAAAACCCGACCTCTTCTCGCCGTGGGTATGTTGCCAACAGGATTGTTATGAAGCGACATCAGAACACAATATCATCTCTTTGGAGACGTTATTTACAACACAAGCAAACTCAACGTGATGTCAAACCAGATAGCCATTTTCGGCTGATGCTTCCTTTGAATCAATTCTTAACTACCACATTAACGATTCCTGGCTTGCCGCCTCTTAGTGCCAGAACCAGTTGATAGTTCAGTAGGCGAAGCATAGCTTGATGTAGTGACCAAACAAGGTTCAGAAAATTGAGCAGTTATTATTTTCAGGTGTGTGCAGACTTTCACAAAAGACAGCTGTGAATGTATTACACGGGTCTAGAGGCATCTAAGACCAAGGTAACATTTCAGGGATTGCCTCCTTGAACGGCTAAGACTGGAAATGTGCATGAAAGAGTATGAGCCGACAAAGATATACATCAATGAAGTTCGTAAGCTACCCCAGCACATATTTTTATTAATCATGCTCTCCCCTGCAAACACAGAGACTAAGGTGACGTTCAAACATGATCATTCAAATTGTATCAGTTGCAGTGGATGCACTGCCTCGAGCCACTGTTTCTGCAGATTACACCCCCACTGAACATACCTGGGATGAGAAGGATTAAGGCCTACATCAGGACCAGTGCCATACGATAACCCTGGCTTAGCTGGGCCATACTTCGATTGACAATCCACACCAAACCGTTATGAATGCTGTTTTCAATTAAATGCGCCACCACAGGCTAGCTTCTATCGACGTAAATGGTGGTCACAGATGATATGTTGCACCACCCTGCTCTGTCTCCAATAACCAGGTTTGGTTTTTGTCAGAGAGTACATTGATATAAATGAGCAACGATTTTGCTATTCTCAATCACATAACCTTTACATCATTTGGTAGAGTACTGAGAAATATTCGACTTACCAAGAAGTATTCTTGGATTTCAGAGCTCCTGTGAAACAAACAGCTATTAATTAAATATCATCAACGGTCAATTATTTTATCTCCGTTTTATTAAAATAGTTTTAATTTGCTAGTGTATCTTTAAGTAGACATATCACTGTGGCTGATTTTGATTTAAAATACACATTGATGTACACGGCAGGCTAATCAGAAGCGACCCAGATTGCCCGGACCTTGGTATTTGTCATATGAACCCTATATCATGAGAACAAAAAGCCTTGTGATACATGTTGTGTTCTGTGTTATAATTAGTTCTAAAAATTATACAGACCTTAAATGAAAAGAGAACCTTGATGTCAGTAAGATCGTTCAGTTTGTCATTAATCTGACGTATCTCTGCCGTCTCGTCCCTCCCCTTCTCGGGAGGCATATAGATGTCCACTCTATACAGGTGGGCGTCTCGGTCATCACCGAGAACCGACAGTGGGAGGCACAAGAGACAAACGAAGAGAAGCATCATTGCAAGTCGTTATCTGCAGCACAGAAAGGAGTCCGTGATCAAATAAGACTTGTTGAAACGTGAATTGTTACATTGAAAAAATCGGTTGTTAAACATAATAAAAACTTTCCGATTGATCGAGAAAAAGGAATAGACAGCTTTCATTTCCCGAAACATTTCTTGATATACCTTGGCACTACAATGCCAAAGGACGCTGCTATTCTGTCTAGTAATACAGTTGATAGTAATCTAGTGTGTCCCTTGCTAGGGATAATAAACCAAAAGCACGTGTTATCTTGAAGGTCTCTCTTCTGAATGTTAGGAACAAACTATTCAAATACAATGCTGGAAAGATGCACAATGCGGGTTTCTATCTTTGTGAAGACGTTTCAGGCCTATATGTACCTCATTAAGACATTGATAAATTATACTCTTAAAAAAGTAGATGAACTCCATTTCTAATTTACGATTGGAAAAAATTGGGAGATATATCGGAGTCAAACAATGTTTATCTGATAATAATGAATGTTTGAGAGTGCATCACGACTTGCACTTCCTTATGACCACAGTTGTTTGTACAGTAATGGCTCTTGAAAGATGATTGATGTATTGGCCTTCTTGAAACCGTCAAACTCAAGAATGATAACCCATGCACATGTATGGGGGTACTGCGTTGTGCACGTGCATCCCATGCGTTGTGTTTAGGGGTGGTATTAAAGAGAACTGGTGGTGCGTTCATAAGATGTCTGTAAACACTGTTAAGGATCTTTTTAGTACTGTTAATTTTCACTTAATTATTGAATTAGAAATAGAGTTATAAGATAGATCTTGATGAATAGTTTGTAAAACGATAAATATTTCATTACTGGTAGTTTAGATTTGTAACTGAGATTGTTGGTGGCTGTACCCTCAAAGCGGGTTGAAATGTTGAAAAATTATTGTCCTCCTGAGAGGGTACGTAAGTCCCAGAACTTTCAAAGTTAAATTTAAGTTTAAGGGATTTTTAAACGTAGTATTTTTGTTCTCTTAACTTTCGGCTAAATTTTCATACAATCATCAGCGGCTGAAGGGATGATGTAAATCCAACTAGGGTCCATGCAGGTAGCAAAGGTACTGTAAGTCCCCATGGTCCCTAGTATGGTGATCTACCTTCAGTTGTTGGCAATCTAGAGCCCATTTTTACATTGTATCGTCCGCTATATATTACTAGTTTTAAATATACATCTGTGATAGTCCAGTTGGTTTTATTGGCCTTTGTCGACAGAGATTGTACATTGATTACACTGTTTTCATCGCTATATGGCTGTAATATTGACGATGCGATGTAAAATGTTAACCCACTCACTCACTCTGATGTTGGCGATCTACAGCATTGTTTTATATTGTGTTGTCCTCGATTTCAGATTTCATTACTGGTTTTATCTGTGATAATCTAGTTATTTTACTGCCCTTCATCGACAGGTTTTTGTAATTTAATTCCATTTATTATCAATTTATAACTTTTTAAGACACGATATGGCTGAAATATTGCCGATGTGACTATACATGTTAACTCATCAGGTTCCCCTACTTTTTTAAAGAGTATACAAAGTAACTTTTGAAAATATCTTTTCAGTCAGGTTCAGCTAAAGAGTGTATTCGTCACACCATTTCCGAGTTCCAACAACAGACACTTTTGTGAAGCCCCTTTCTGGCGTCCACTGCCATGATGCGGTAACAGTACTAAAAGCGTCACAAACTAATTCACTCACCTTTGCGTTTGTCTTGATGAAATCTGCTGGCAGACAAACACTGAATGTACGTCACCTGCACGTAGCTGGTATGCAAATGTCAAATTATTGATCACTACATATCATAATACATACTGGAACTATCGTCCAGATTGTCAGAATCGTATGCACATGGCCCCAAACATGTGTTTGAAAACATCTCGAACTGTCACTTGTAATCCAGTCAGCAAATTATTTGAGTTTTGTATGATCTTTTGGTAATAATTCCGCTTGTGCAAAATGCTCTTTGTGAATATATAGAAAGTCCAACATAGGTTGTATTGAGGATTACGGTCAAGGTTATATACTGGGATGTGTTGTTACATATGATACATTCATGTATATATGTCACTTTCTGAAATACAGCACAACAGAGGTGTATCAGCTTTTAGAAGCAGGCCAACAATTGATAGTACTGACTCATGATCACATAACACACCAACACACACACACCTCCCCCTCCCACCACACACCTTAGCCTTAGTCGGTGGATAATTACAAACTGTTCATGTAGGACCGACTTTGGATGACCGCTGCCTGCATCAACGTTCCACTGCATTCTGGTAATAACAAGACAGTGAGTGAGTGAGTTATAATTTATCGTCACATCGGCAATATTTCAGCCATATCGTGACGGGAACATTTAATTGTTATGCATAGTAATTTATGGTAAATTATAAAAACCTGTCATCGAAGGACAGTAAAACCGACTAGAATATCACAATATCAAGAAATAAAACTAGCATATATTCTAACATAGGATTTCAGATTAGGACAAATTACAATTACAATTACAATACAATTCACTTGGAAAATGTGGGATTTCTATATTCACCTGGATACCCAGTCTAAGCCTTTAAAGTTTGTAACTCAGAACAATGAACTTCGTTTGACTACAATATGACTGCTGGATTGCACCCTTTATGTTTCAGTGTAAATCACTGTCATATAATGTTCCACGTGTAAGACAATTTAGTTGTTGACGCCCATATCCTGAATACTCTGCCAAGGCCTTATTTGCAGTTTGGATTACTGTTGCTGAGAGGTAAATATTACCTTTACTGCCTGCATTGCTGTATTCACTGTTCTTGTATTATACTGCACTCTGTTTAATACAACCATGATGATACCGTTGTATTGAATTGTGAACGTAGTTAATTTTTGAATACAAAATTGGTAACTGCAGCACATTTCCTTGTGGTTTTCCCATGGTACCTAGTATGGTGATCTACTGTGTTGAATATTCCATCACAAGGGATATCTATTTCAAATCACGAACTATGAAGGATCTTTTTAATAATGTCAGTTCTCATTTAATTATTGCATTTAAGAATTAGATTTGTTAAATGATTTGTAAATACATAAATATTTTATGATTGGAAGTTTGAATTAGTAACTAAGATTGTTAAAGTACTGTAAAATTATTGTCCTCCTGAGAGGGTACGTAAGTTCCAAAACATTTGAAGTAAATTAAAACGTTCCACATTTTTAATCGTACAATACCTGTTCCTTTAATGTATGGCTAAATTTGCCAAATTGCTAACGGCTGAAGGGTTGGTGTAAATCCAGCTAGGTTCCATGCAGGAAGCAAATGTACTGTAAGTCCCCATGGTCCCTAGTATGGTGATCTACCTTCAGTTGTTGGCAATCTATAGCCTGTTTTTATGTTGTATCGTCTTGTATAGTTCAAATATTTTAAATTTAGTTACTAGTTTTATATTTAAATCTGTGATAATCTAGTTGTTTTACTGTCCTTCGTTGGCAGAATTTTATAATTTACCTTTAATTGTTGATATATTTATGACTTGATTTAGCCACGATATGGCTGAAATATTGCCGATATGACTTAAAATCTTAACTCACTCACTCACTCACTAGTATGATGATCTACCTTCAGTTGTTGGCGATCTATAGCCAGGTTTTATATTGTATTGTCCAAATAGTGCTATTAGTTTTAAATTTCAACACTCGTTTTATTTGTAATTGTGATATTCTAGTTGTTTTACTGTCCGTTGCAGACGGGTCTTTATAATATACACATATTACACTTCAATGTCTAATATGTTCTCGTCACGATATGGCTGAAATATTGCCGATGTGACGTTAAATATTAACTCACTCACTCACTCCGTGTTGTTTGCTGGATTCACACCTATACGTAAGTACCCAAAATTTTCCAAGTCAATTTCCCTCAACCATACTTTTTAATCGTAGTATTTTTGTTATTTTAAATTTCAGATAAATCTTCCTACCACCGCCAGCGGCTGAAGGGATGGTGTAAATCCAACTAGGGTCTATGCAGGTAGCAAAAGTAATGTAAGTCCCCCATGCATGGGCGGATCCAAGGAGACTTGTATTTATTGTGTATGCCAAACATTTCTCGTCACTATATGGCTGAAGGATTGCCGAGGTGACGTTAAATTGTAACCCACTCACTCACTCACACAGTTCACTAGTTCTTGTATGGTTTGATTCTTAGTCATCCTAGTTACTAGTATTCCTAGAAATCGTTTTGGACATGTACTGCCGCTCGGTTTAGTACAACCATGGTGATACTATTGTCTTGAATTGTGAACGTAGTAAATTTTAACAAGAAAACTTCTATGATGGTTGCTGGATTCACACCTGGTTCTTCTATGGACTGATTCCCGGGTTCGATTCCCCTCATGTGTGAAGCCCATTCATGGTGTTACCCGCCGTGATGTTGCTGGAGTTTTTCTTGAATTTGGGCACTCTGGAGCTTGTCTCGAACTTGCATTCCATGCCTGATCTTCCACAAGATGCGCAATAACTCCTCCCCCCTGTAACTTGACCGATCCACCATTACCTGCCTTGCCACGTTTCAAATGAAGAGTATTACATTTGTCGAGTCCAAATGTCATGCCATTATCTTTAGAAAAGGACTCGACAAGGAGAACCTGCTCTTTCAAATTATTATTATTATAATTATTATTATTATATGGACAGATTGTATGTTCGAGATTGTTAGACGTTAACAATTGATACAATTTTACCCTTTCTTGACATGTGAAACGATATGGAGAGATAAGTTTCTCTCATAGATGCCTATGATATGGACAAATTAATACAAAGTGATACTCATCTTGTTCAACACTCATTAAAGAGCATAAAAGTTGGTCAGTATTAATATCGTTATTGTATCTTAATTTACAAATCTTTAATCTGTGTGACTGGAATCTACATTTAGAAAAGACTTGTAATAAATATTTAAGATTAAACAATTCTATGACATATCTTTCTGTGTCTAACAAAGATTTAAAGCTAGATTAAAAGAATAAATCACTTTTTTCACGATAGCCTAATATCATGCCAGTCCTGGAATTGTATATGGTTTACAACATGTCGAAGAATTATGCATAAATATGTCATAATTGACAAAATTCTGAGATATCCAAACATAAGAAATCCGATCGAAAGTAAAGATAGGGTGTTTATTGTGCAATAAACTATACTAGTGTCGTGACATGCTTTCTGGACAACTGTACAAGGATCATAATCTTCATAAGTTTAAAAGACTTTGCAACTTTTAATTGTCAATTGGCGTAAGTGAGTAAGATGGCTTTTAGGAACTATAATTGAGATCAAAGTTCGTAGCTTTGGAAAAAGTTGTGAAGATATGCAACAGGGGCTTACAGTCAGAAAGAAATTACTAGCCCTCCTCTAGAAAAGCCTCAATGTACACAGACCTTTCTTTGTCTCAAATTAAACTTCGAAAGAGGCGACAATACACAAAGTACTTTTTCTGGCATAATAAGTTCTGGTGATTGCTCAGTATATATTCTACATGAAAGAAGATTGTCGGGATTTTTTTTCATCATAACATACATGTTAACAGATATGAAGCAGAACTACCCTGAAAGATGTCCACAACTAAAAGCAGACAAGCTGGAAACTCTTCATAATGCCTGTAGGAAAGGGTGCCTGGGCCTTGTGAGAAGCATCCTGTCCGGAGGTTTGGTTGACGTCAACAGTAGAGATGATAAGTACAAGATGACACCACTCATGGTGGCGGCACACGAGGGACATAGACGATTATTTGCCTTTCTTGTAAGAACAGGAGCTAATGTATCACTCGTAGATGGAAACGGGGACAATGTCCTGCACTTGGCCTGCAGAGGAGGACGTATGGGTTTTGTAAAGTATGTAGTCACACAATGCAGTGTTAATATTAACAGTAAGGGAATGCACGGGTCAACTCCACTGCTGCAGGCTGTATATTGTGGACACAGAGACCTGTTGAAGTTCCTCGTGACCAAGGGAGCTAATTTGTCACACGTGGATGATGACGGAGAGAATATCCTGCACTGGGCCTGCAGAGGGGGGCATGTGGATATCGTGAAGGATATACTCAAACAATACAATGTTGGTATCAATAGTAGGGAAAATCACGGAGAGACCCCCCTGATGAAGGCTGCATCAGAAGGGCACATAGGCGTTTTCAAGTTCCTCGTGAGTAAAGGGGCTAATGTGTCACACGTTGATGATATTGAGCCAACATACTTCCTTATGCTTCAATTTGGGGACATGCAAACATGGTTCAGTATATCAAATCACAGGACATGGTGAACATTAACACTAGAGGAAAATACGGAAGGACACCATTGATGAGAGCAGCTTATTATGGACATAGAAAAGTGTTTGATCTGCTTGTGAGTAAAGATAATGGAACGCAGTTAGTGGATGATGACGGAGACAACATTCTTCATCATGCTTCTGTTGGGGGACATGCAAACATGGTTGAGCATATCATTGATGAGAGCAGCTTATTATGGACACAGACAAGTCTTTGATCTGCCTGTGAGTAAAGGTGGTCGAACGCAGTGGATGGTGGCGGAGAAAACATCTTTCATCTGGCCGCTTTGGGTGGAGAGGTCGACATGACGAAGCATATCCTATCCGCAGACATGGTGGACATTAACAGTAGAGGTAAGACGGGAGCAACCCCGCTGATGATGGCCGCATTAAAGGGATATAAAGTCGTTTTTCAGTTCCTCGTGAATATGGGGGCTAATGTGTCATACGTGGATGATCACGGAGACAACTTCATCATGCTTCAATTGGGGGCCATGCAAACATGGTTCAGCTTATCCTATCACAAGACATGGTGGACATTAACAGTAGAGGAAAATATGTGAGGACACCATTAATGAGAGCAGCATATTACGGACATAGAAAAAAGTGTTTGATCTGCTTGTGAGGAAAGGTGGTCTAACGCAGTTAGTGGAAAGTTATGGTTACAACATCCTTCATCTGGCTTCTATACGTGGAAACGTTATGATGGTGAAGCACATTCAGAACATATGGCCGACATTAACGCCAGGGACAAGGGTGGGAAAACGGCAGCCATGATAGCAAAACGTAACGGAAAACTTAGACTGTATAACTACTTGTTTCGCAAGGTTGTCCAGTAACATAAGAGTAGCTTGTGAGTTAGTTCACGCATTATATGTTACCGGTTACCAGTAGTACAATTTGACATGCTTCCTTTAAGGCGTGTAAGTAACAGCCTTGGGTGAATTCGGGTTATAAGTTTATCACATTTTAAACGTAGTATGTTTGTTATTTAACTATTGGCTAACTTTTCCTACAATCGCCAGCGGCTGAAGGGATTGTGTAAATCCAGCTAGGTAGCAAAGGTAATGTAAGTTCCCCAAGGTTCCTAGTATGGTGATCTCCCTTCAGTTGTTGGCGACCTATAGCCCGTGTTGTATACTGTATTGTCTTCTTTAGTTGGAATGTTTTAACTTTGCTCGCTAGTTTTATATTCACATCTCAGAATCTCTAGTATTTTTACTGTCCATCGTCAACAGATTTTAATCCTCCAAATCTTTTTACTTTATATTGTATAAATTGTTTTCGTCACGATATGACTGAGATATTGCCGATGTGACGTTAAATATTAACTCACTCACTTGTTACATTAGACTTGTTGTTGTGTGCAATGCGTGAACGATATCCTCCAATGCCCCACTTGGACATTATACAGATTGATGGTCCTCCTGTGGGTGTACGTAAGACCCAAAACATTCAAGGTAAATTAAGCTTACCGATGTGATGTGCGTATGTGGTATTATAAAACGTAGCATTTTTGTGTTTTTAATTTATGGCTATACTTGTCTCCAATCAACAGTACTGTAAGTCCCCATGGTCCGTAGCATGGTCATCTACCTTCGGTTGGTGGTGATCTTCAGCCCATGTTTTTATATTGTATTATCGTACTATTTGTCTTATTTTAAAAGTTACTTGCCAGTATTAATTCTCTAACTGCGTTCAAATTATGTTACTGTCTTTCGTCGACAGTTTTATTTTTATAATTTAATTGCGCTTATTGTTAATTTATAACTTTTCAGTCACAATATGGCTGAAATATTGCAGATGTCACTATAAATGTTAACTCACTCACTAACATATTGATGATGGCTTGGTATTTTAGTCTTAGTCGTATTTTGTTTTTGCCGTTTGTGTTCAGGATACAGACACTGATAATCTCGTTTCATGGCTGTCTTCGTTGTGCTTTTGTTCAAGGGGTTAAGTATATGGCAAGCATTCATGACAACTTGTTATTTTAGTCTTAGTTGTTGATTTGTGCAATGAGTGGAGATATCCCGTAGTGTCTCATTTTGTGTGCGGACGTCTTCTAAAGAACAATACTGGTACTGCTAGTTTGTGTTAACATGGTATATATATTTGTCTGTGTATATTCAATAAAGTAGTATTATTATATGTTGTCATTATGCAACTTAGATGGGCATTAAGAACTTATAAACATGCGTCAGTAGCGTGTGTGTGTGTGTGTGTGTGTGTGTGTGTGTGTGTGTGAGTTGGTTTTTGTTTTGCATTGGACAATATTTCAGTTATTTTTATCCCAGCTTGTAGCTTTTTGGTAAATAAAGCCTCACGTGGAGCTAGTCGCTGTTGCAAAACTAGAATTTGAATCAACGTACATATCTGTGGAAATCTAGACAAACACTGTTCAGAGATTACGACAACTGCCCAATCGTTCCCCATTTGAGACAAATTGAAAAGATTGTCGTATGATACACTTTATTTTCCTCGAGGTTTTCAGCTGCCTCTTCCAGTTAGTGGAACAAATCATCATAAAACAAAGATTGGTTAGTTTGGAGTAACTATACAGGACATAATTAACCTACTAATAACTTATTAAACCTACATTGATGGGAACTTTGATAAACAGTGGTACATACACCCAGGGTTATCATCAATCCACAGCAACGTCTTATTACAGTATCTCAAAACTGAAAAATCAGTTCAGATCCGGGTTAGAATTGCTCTTCAACAACCAATGCTTGTCGTAAGAGGCAACTTACCGGATGGGGTGAGGCTCGCTGACTTGGTTGACACCTGCTATGGTATGACAATTGCGTAGATCGACGGTCATGTTGTTGATCACTGGATTGCCAGGCTCACTTGTTTTTACATACCGACTACATATAGATGGAATATCGCTGAGTGTGACGTCAAACAACAAACAACAAACAAACAAACTCACGATTGAATCTGTTTATTGCACTTAATATGTGTAATCATATCCCACCACTTAACACCAGGATAGGATAAAATCAGTTATATTCCTGTTTATTGCTTCATCCAGTGTGGACACGAAACGACAGTAATAGATACCATGAGTATTCATCGATGACGTCATCACCCTTGCAACCAGTATTGGCTGCTGTGTTCCAGACTCGACTATTTGGTGGCCAGCGTCGTGTAACTTAAGCATTGCTGATAATGCAACTTTCAATTGTCAATTGGCGTTAGTGAGTTAGATGGCTTTTAGGAACTATAACTGTAGCTTTGGAAAAAGTTGTGAAGATATGCAACAGGGGCTTACAGTCATAAAGAAATTACTAGCCCTCCTCTAGAAAACCTCAATGTACACTGAACGTTCTTTGTCTCAAATTAACCTTCGAAAGAGGCGACAATACACCAAGTACTTTTTCTGGCATATTAAGTTCTGGTGATTGCTCAGTATATATTCTACATGATAGCAGACTGTCGGGAGTTTTTTTCATCATAACATACATGTAAACAGATATGACGCAGAACTACCCTGAAAGATGTCCACAACTAAATGCAGACAAGCTGGACACTCTTCATAATGCCTGTAGGAAAGGGGACCTGGGCCTAGTGAGAAGCATCCTGTCCCGCGGTTTGGTTGACGTCAACAGTAGAGATGATAAGTACAGGATGACACCACTCATGGTGGCAGCACACGAGGGACATAGACGATTATTTGCCTTTCTTGTCAGAAGTAGATGAAAACGGAGACAATGTCTTGCACTTGGCCTGCAGAGGAGGACGTATGGGTATTGTGAAGGATGTAGACACACAATACAGTGTTGATATTAACAGTAAGGGAATGCACGGGTCAACTCCACTGCTGCAGGCTGTATATTGTGGACACAGAGACGTGGTGAAGTTCCTCTTGACCAAGGGAGCTAATTTGACACACGTGGATGATGACGGAGAGAATATCCTGCACTAGGCCTGCAGAGGGGGGCATGTGGATATCGTGAAGGATATACTCAAACAATACAATGTTGATATCAACAGTAGGGAGACTCACGGAGAGACCCCCCCTGATGAAGGCTGCATCAGAAGGACACATACTGCGACACAGTATGCGTTTTCAAGTTCCTCGTGAGTAAAGGGGCTAATGTGTCACACGTTGATTATAAGGGAAACAACATACTTCCTTATGCTTCAATTTGGGGACATGCAAACATGGTTCAGTATATCAAATCACAGAAACTTGAGTACATTAACAGTAGAGATAAATACGGAAGGACACCATTGATTAGAGAAGCTTATTTGGACCTAGAAAAGTGTTTGAACTTATTGTGAGTAAAGATAATCGAACGCAGTTAGTGGATGATGACGGAGACATTCTTCATCATGCTTCTGTTGGGGGACATGCAAACATGGCTGAGCATATCATTGATGAGAGCAGCTTAGTATGGACATAGAAAAGTGTTTGATCTGCTTGTGAGTAAAGGTGGTCGAACGCAGTGGATGATGGCGGAGAAAACATCTTTCATCTGGCCGCTTTGGGTGGAGAGGTCGAGATGACGAAGCATATCCTATCCGCAGACATGGTGGTCATTAACAGTAGAGGTAAGACGGGAGCAACCCCGCTGATGAAGGCCGAATTAAAGGGATATAAAGTTTTTCAGTTTCTCGTGAATATGGGAGCTAATGTGTCATACGTGGATGATCACGGAGACAACATACTTAATCATGCATCAGTTGGGGTCCATGCAAACATGGCTCAGCATATCCTATCACAAGACATGGTGGACATTAACAATAGAGGAAAATATGTGAGGACACCATTGATGAGAGCAGCTTATGGTGGACATAGAAAAGTGTTTGATCTGCTTGTGAGTAAAGGTGGTCGAACGCATTGGATGATGGCGGAGGAAACTTCCTTCATCTGGCCGCTTTGGGTGGAGGGGTCGAGATGACGAAGCATATCCTATCCGCAGACATGGTGGACATTAACAGTAGAGGTAAGACGGGAGCAACCCCGCTGATGAAGGCCGAAT